TGGTTATTAAATTAATTGTTTACTAGCGCCACAAGTCACTTAGATACCTTGGTTCATAGGGATTGCTCACAGATGGGTTAAGTCTTTATTAAGTTATTTTCTTGCATTTTGATCAAGGAATTTTATTTATAATACCATATGTTCATTTATAAAGGAGTTCAAGATCTTCAAGTGATTCCTTATTTATCATTTTGGACTAAAAGCAAGGAAACAAGATGGATTAGTTTGGCAGGATTAGTCATAGATAAAACTTGAACGAAAGTAATTGAAAATGACACATGATCTAATTAAAGATGCATAAATAATAGATCTACTTTATATAGATACAAATAAAGGAGATTTGGGCAAGATTACAACCTTGGTGGGCAAGGTTCGTCTTCTTTGTAACGATCCGTCCCCAAATATTTCGGTTTTTACAATTTTAAAATGTGAAAATTACGAAAATGTCTTTCAAGGCAAATGCGTTGACTTTATTTAACCGTATTGGCATGTCATGTAAGATCCGTTTTCTTAGCGTATCCTCATAGCAATCGTTGCTATAAACGCGTAGGTGCAAGCAGAACGTAATTTTGGAAGTCTTCAGATTGTTAGAGCAAAATCTAGGAAGCCACGTGTGTGGCTGTGATGGAAAGATAAGGAGAGAAATGAGGGTGGGCACTGCCTAATCAGGAAATAGGAGAAGATAATGCACCAATGAGAAGAGAGTGCAAGGAGGGGAAATGAGAGAGAAGTGAAGCACTGGATTCCTTTGACCCGGTTAATGACCCGACTTCAGACTGATTTCCTGCACAGTTTTTGTCACTATTTCAGTCATTTTTTTTTTGTGAATCGCGACCATCCACCACCACCATTCATCACCCCAGCCTCCTCTCTTCCTTTCCCATCCAAACCTGACTGGGTTTGACCCCAATTTCGTGAGGAACCACACTGATGGGTGCAACGGACACCCCAACAGCGATTCGTCGTTTCGACAACCCTCATTGTTGAAAACCACCACCATTAGACTCTCATTGAGCCCAGGAACAAACCCCAAACAACCTTGGAGGCGGTGGAGCACCGGAGAAGTCGAATCGGAACGCCATGCCACTCTTTTTAGGGTTTTAAGCAGGTTCAAGACGAATTAGAGCTTTTCCCAGCCAAATTGGCCTTAGTCACATGTATGAATCTTGCTCCACTCATCGAGATCTTCATTCTTATAAAATTTGGGAATTTGTGGAGTTGTTCGATTTTCAGGCGAGTCAGGGCGGCCGACTGCCACACATGGCGACGTGTGAGGGAAAAACCCAAGGTCTCTCCTTAGGTTTTTTGACGTGTTGAATCTGAATCCACTATCTGTTTTCCTAAATTAACGTTTTAGTAGAGTTTTACTAAAAGCTCCCTAATTATGTTTAGGCACGTTGGCGGGAAATGACGTCATCCTCACTAGTTCGAGCGATTCTCGGGCAATAAAATCAGTGAGTGGACCCCTTCTTAACTTATATATATTTTATAAAATATTAGCCTAACGTGCATTTCATATTTCATGATTGGGAGTACGTTTTAGATTATGCGTTACGGATTTCTATATTTATGAATTATCGAAATTACGTTTTATGAATGAATACGAATTTTGGATTTTGAATATATGGATTTCTATGCATTTTGAATATATTGATTTCTATGGATTTTGGATAAGATTTACATTACGGATTTACGAGTATAAATTCTCAAGGAATTACGAGATGAGGCTTTGAGCTTTTAAGCTCCGGATTTGATATGAGATTTTGAGATAAGTTTTAGTACTTATCTAGTGGGTTATTATACGGCACATCCACACACCACGGGTATAGATGTCTATGGCCATAGGACACAGATGATGGAGGAGTGAGATATGATTTATGACATTCCCCCAGCTTCACCACCGAAAGCAGTATCGGACAGCTTCACTAGCCACGGCTAGTGTCGGTGTGGATGTTATGCTATGCTAAATAGCTTCACCTTCGGGTGATGGACACGTACTGCCTTTGGCTGACTATGATACCCCTAGAGTACAGTATTGAGGAGATTTACGGATTTTCCTTTCAGTGGTGTTTTCAGCATTTTTTAGCATGGTTTTACTCGAACATGTTTTATAAACGTTTTTCACTACATGCTATGGTTTTTCATAAAACATATACGTAGTATTATATATGTGTTTTCAAAACAAGGGGTTAGTATGTTCAGAAATAAAATGTTTTTGTATCATTAGTATTATTATAAAGGCTTTTTATTCAAAATAGTCTCTGAGATTTGCATCATCCATAATTTTGTTCCCTGAGATTTAAAATCAATAGAAGTAGTCTCTGAGATTGTCCACCATCCATGATTTTGGTCCTTCCGTTAAAAACTCCGTTTAGTGTCCTGGAGCTCTTGGCCTGAAGTTTGGGCAATTTTCAAAGCTTCGTAACTCAATCGTTTCTTAACCAAATTCGACCCATAATATATCAAAATGAAGGCAGAAAAGTGTAGAATAAGATTACCTATTTGGCAGCCCAATGATTGCCGGAGATGTCCGGAAAATAGCCTGAAAGGTGACTGGTCCGCGGGAAAACTGGAAAACTCGCCGAAAATTGGGTAAACTTTAAACGTTCATAACTTCTTCAACACTCAACGAAATTGAGTGATTCAAACACTAAAATCATACATCTTGAAGAGACAAAGAGAATGGTATCTTTCATGACTGCTAACTCACCATGGTTTGGCCGGAAAATGGCTCGAAAGTGGCTAACTCGAAAATAGTTATCCACTTTCGAGCCGTTTTCCTACCAAACCAAGGCGAGTTAGCCTTTGAAAAAGGTATCATCATCTTCATCTCGTCAAGAAGTATGATTTTTATTTTCGAATCACTCGATTTCGTTGAGTATTGAAGAAGTTATGAACGTTTAAAGTTTATCCAATTTCCGGCTGAGTTTTCCAATTTTCCTGCGGACCAGTCACCTTTCAGGCTATTTTCCGGCCATCTCCGGCAATCATTGGGCTTCTAAATAGGTATAATCTTATTCTACACTTTTCTATCTTCATTTTGGTATATTATGGTTCGAACTTGGTTAAGAAACGATTGAGTTACGAAGCTTTGAAAATTACCCAAACTTCCGGCCAAGAGCTCTGGGACACTTAACGGAGTTTTTAATGGAATGACCAAAATCATGGATGGTGAACAATCTCAGGGACTACTTCTATTGATTTTAAATCTCAGGGACCAAAATTATGAATGATGCAAAACTCAGGGACCATTTTGAATAAAAAGCCTATTATAAATTATGGTCCACTCACCTTTTCAGTTTTTGCACCCCCTCAGGAGTTAGGATCGAGGCACATGATCCCAGCGTCAGGACTCTACGGCTTAGGTATTCTCGAGTCTTCTTGACGTAGGTACCATTCCTTTATTTGTATCTTTTTCTAGTAATTCCTTCATATTATTCTGGTTTAGTTGTATGCTCTAAACACGTTCCTGTTTTGGTATAATAGTTCTAACTACATATCTTTTAGTTGTATGTATGTTTAAATGGCTTTGTCACCCTCGGTTGTCGGCCAGCACGTGCATACCCTGGTATGTGGGGATATCGAGGTTAGGGCGTGTCATTCTTGCAGCCACTTCTCCTTGTATTTTACAGAGATAGAAGTCTTGGAAAATGAAATATAAACAAAGTTTACTAAAGGGATTCAATACTACAACAAAGGGAATGGTAGCAGAGCTTCTAGAAACTGATGAAAGAAGGCTTTTTATGGTGGACTTGCAACAAAAAAAAAAGGGCAAGGGGTGAACAAACTAAAGTTATCTGATTTTGCTGTTGAGTTCTGAGTTGAGTGTGTTGAGAGTGTCTTTTTGCTCGCTTCCCTTGCTGCTTTTATAGACTTATTAGCCCCAGTGTCCAAGCTTTTCCTTTTCGTGATGGCTTACAAAGCATAGTGACACATCATCTGTTTTTGTTATTTACCTACCCATGTCATGAAAAAGTACTTTTTGCTGTCATCGGTCCCTTGTCACTTTCATCATAGGCTTGATGCCTATTAGTTGCCAAAAAATAATTTTTAAATCCAACAAGGGCTGCCGCCTCTTCCAACCCAATCTCAAATAGATTTTTGCACACTTGGACTTTAATTGCATTGAGCCTAATATTAAATATCCACCCAAACAGTACTGACAGGACATAATTTAAGTGGTTCAATTAAATTGACTTTGTTAGCAATCAGCATTAATTCGCTCCTGGTTTGTACAAACTTAGAGGGACTAAACCAAATGAACATGACAGCAATACTAAAGCATCCCACACCCTATCACGGGGACAAGCAGAACTAAGCTTAAGTCTTGAACTGGTTTGGTCATACAAAGACCACAGAGAAAGACCTCACCCCATGTTCAGCTTGATTATTGCAATTTGGTTTAAGTTTTCTTGTATATTTCATAAGTATTGAATGTACAAGGATACACATATATATGAGAAAATAAGGACTAGTTACAACCAACTATCCTTAGACTTAACCCTAGAGACCGACCATACTTCCTAATTGAATGAGATTACACCAAATACTAGTGACCTGCCATACTCCTTAATTGGAGGAAACCAACCACAAGTAAGGAGTGATTTACACTTTTATGTCAAGGAAAACACAGCAGCCCATGCTATAACTAGACAACCAAAGTTGACAAAGAAATGCCATGATTTCCGGATTACAAAATCTACATAATTTATCTAGGGTTAGTTAGTAACTCTCAATACTTCCCCTCAAGCTAGATCGAGTAGTGCAGTTGATAGAGCCTTAGTGAACACATCTGCCAATTGATCATAATTGTGAGTGAAGATTGTTTGAATGAGTTGTGGCTGAACTTGAGCCCTAATGAAGTGACAATCAACTTCAATATGCTTGGTCCTTTCATGGAAAACTGGATTTGCAGCGATGTGCATAGCTGCTTGATTATCACACATGAAAGACATGAGAGTGGAACTCAAGAACCCTAAGTCAAACAAAAGACCTTTGAGTCAAATCAATTCACATGCAGTAGCAGCCGTGGCTCGGTACTCAGCTTCAGCACTCGAGCGGGTAATGACTTGTTGTTTTTTACTCTTCCAAGTAACAATGTTGCCTCCAACAAATGTGCAATAACCAGTGGTGGATTTTCCGTCAATTGCACTACCTGCCCAGTCAGCATCAGTGTATGCATGAATCTTAGTGGAATGATTGTTATGCATAAGAATACCCCGATTGATGGACCCATTAAGATAGCGAATGATCCTTTTAATAATATTGAGATGTTCAACTATGGGTGCATGCATGAATTGACTAACCAAGCTGATAGCAAAAGTAATTTCTGGACGAATAAGGGTAAAATAGATTAGCTTACCAACCAATCTTTGATAATATGTGACATTCTTGATTGCTTCGCCATCTATGGTAATCTTAAGTTTGCTGTCGATTAGGGTGGCAACTGGCTTGCAATCAGTGAACTCAGCTTCCTCAAGTAGATCCATGACATATTTGGGTTGGTTTAAAAACAAACCTCATTGTGAGGTTACCATCTCAATGCCAAGAAATTACTTCAACTTCCTAAGATCCTTTATGGCAAAGGTTTGATGTAGGGAGGTTTTGAAGGCTTTAATTTTAGAGGCATTGTCAACTGTGATGATAAGATCATCTACATAAATAAGAACCACCAACTTCCCACTAATTCCATTGCGCACAAACAAGGAAGAATCAACATTGCTTCTAAGAAAACCTTCCATTTCCAACACTGAACTAAGCTTGCCATACCAAGCTCTTGGTGATTGCTTCAAACCATAGATAGCCTTGTGAAGTTTACACACCATGCCATCTTTTGCTTTAGAGTAACCTGGGGGAATTTGCATGTATACTTCCTCTTGAAGCTCTCCATGAAGGAAAGCATTTTTAACATCCATTGGATATAACAACCAACCACAGTTGATAGCAACGGAAAGTAACACACGTACTATGCTCATTTTTGCTACTGGAGGAAAGGTTTCCTTGTAATCAACCCCGAAGGTTTGGATGAAACCACGAGCAACAAACCTAGCTTTGTGTCTCTCTACTGAGCCATCAGACTTGAGTTTAGTTTTGTAGACCCAACCACTCCTAACTGTCTTCTTTCCCGGAGGTAATTGAATGATACTCCAAGTACAATTCTCCTCCAAGGCTTGAAGTTCTTCATACATGGCTTTCTTTCAGTGAGGGATGAGATTGGCTTCTTAAAAAGGGTTAGGCTCTATAAGAGTTGAGACTTCAGTAAGAAAGGCAATATGTGAATTTGAGAAACTATGATTACTTATTGCTTCAGAGATAGGATATCTACAAGCATAAGTAACATAGTCTACAAATTTGGTAGGGGCCTTTCTTTCTCAAGGTGGATTCCTTCTAACTTCTTGAGTAGGTTGGTGAGTGAAGGGTGGAGATGTAGCCTCAAGATCATCATTTTCTTGTGAGTTAGAATGAGATGTAGCCTCACGACTGCCACTACCCTTTAAGGAATCATCATGAATCAAGGGCTCAATGTATATAGGCAATGGAAACAAATCACACAGAAGCTTCCCCTCACTTGAAGTAGGATCCTTTTTAAAGAATGGAGTTTCTTCCCCAAAGAGAACATCTTTGGATACAACACACTTGTTAGTGATAGGATTAAAACATTTATATCCCTTTTGAGTGGAGAAGTATCCCATGAACACACATTTCACACCCCTATCATCCAATTTGTCACGATGTTGAGTTTGCACATGTACAAAACAAGTGCAACCAAAGACTTTCAAGTGTGACAGATTTATTGGTCTATCTTTAAGGGTTTCATATGGTGATTTGAAACCTAGAACTCGACTGGGAAGCCTATTGATCAAATAGATGGCTGTAAGAATTGCATATGACCAAAACTTTTTGGGTACATTCATATGTAACATGAGTGCCCGAGTCTTCTTAAGTAGATCTCTATTCTTCCTCTCAGATATCCCATTTTGTTGTGGGTTCCCACACAACTTGTGAATTATTCCTTATGAACTTAGATATTGAGTCATGATTTTGGACAAGAACTCGGTGCCATTGTTTGATCTCAAGATTTTAATGGTTGAGTGAAATTGTGTTACCACCAACTTATGAAAGCCTTTAAAAATAGTTGAAACCTCACTTTTAGATTTCATGTGATAAAGAAAAGTAATTTGAGTGTGGTCATCCACAAATATGACAAAATACTTGTAAACCTCTATTGATTCAAAAGTTGGACCTCATACATCAGTGTATACCATTTCAAATGGTGTACTCGACTTGGACATGGAAGAACCAAAATGAAGTCTAGCAAATTTGGAAAAATGACAGGTATCACACTTAAAGGATGAGTGACAAAACATGGGAAATAGTTTTGACATAACAACTTCAGATGGATGAGCTAGTCTTTGATGCCAAAGTTCTTGATCCTGAGGTTTACTTGAGTTTGCTTGAATAGATGTAGGTAGATGGGACTTCTTGCAAAAATAATACAAGCCATTTAGAAAAAAAACCTTCACCAATCATCTTCTTGGTGATACAATCCTGAAATATGACAGTAGTTGGTGAGAAAACGGCAGTGCATTTTACAGTGGAAGTGAGTTGCCCTATGGAAAGTAATTTGAAGGGAAAGGATGGAACATATGGAGCACTATACTCGATGTTTTTTTACATCAAATTTATTTTTCCTCTACCCATTACCAAGACATTTTTTCCATTTGCAACTGACACTTGAGAAGGTTTTGAAAAATGATGAAAATCATGCAGATTTGAGACTTTACTTGTCATGTGATCAGTGGCACCCGAGTCAATTATCCAACAATCAAGTTCAATACTAGTTTCAAGTGCAGTGGAGAAGGAGTTTAAGATACCTGCAGCTTTATCAGGATGAACATGATCATGGCAAGTAAAGAGCCCAGCAAATTGGCCAAGAGGTGCAGTGTGATTGTCACTCTCGACCTTAGGAGTTGGTACAACCTCTCCATGTCCTTTGCTTTGAAGATACGCTACAAATTCATTGATAAGAGACAAGGGTTTTCAGTGAAGTCTACTGAACCATGGTTGAACGAGCTCGAGGCATGGTTTGCAATATGTTGTGCTTTGTAGGGGGTTATCTGTAATGCTCGGGGAGTGAATAGCCTAACACTCTTATTGAACTTAGGTTTCAGCTCTGGTTGTAGTTCCCAGCACTTTTCTTCCACATGCACTATAGTATTGCAGTACTTGCACTTTAGGTATGGATTCCTTCCCTTGTAAGCCTTGTTGTCAGTTTGCCTGTAGTTCGCAGCATACCCTCGAGTCTCAGGCAGTTTGTGGCTTGACTCTTAGTTCATCACCCTTCTTCTTGCTTCTTCACGTTGCACAGTAGCATAAACATTTTGAAACGATGGCAGCTTCATGCTCATTAGAATGTGGCTTCTGAGATCTTCATACTCGGAGCTTAAGCTTCCTAGCAACTGATATATCTTATCTTCCTCAACACATTTGAGAAGAATAGATGGATCAGTGGTATGAGGAAGATATACATCCAGCTCATTCCACATGGTTTTAAGGTTACCAAGGTGTTAAACAAAGGTTCTTCCTTCTTGTTGAATGCCTGCAATATCCTTCTTTAGCTAAAACACATGAGCATAATTATTCTGGTTCCCATACATGTCCTTCACAGATTTCCATAAATCTTGTGAGGATTATGAGTAGCTAAAGATCTCAGCTACATGCTTCTCCATGTTGTTGAGTAACAGGGACATGACCAGTTGGTCTTTGCATAACCATGCTTCGTATGCTTGGGTAGAAGGCTCAAGTGCTTTAACTCCTCCATTGATGAACCCTAGCTTTCTTCTTCCACTGAGAGCAAGAGACACTGCTCTAGACCATGGGAGATAGTTAAATTCATTCAACAAAATGGCATAAACGCTGATTCATATTTATCTCAGTATCTGGAACAAAAGAGGGAGAACTTTGCGAGTTTTCTCCTCCAAGGTTTACTGACCTTTCTTCAGCCATAACTGGAGCTTGAATATGAACAACAGCGGAAAAAAATTGGGCAAAGACAGGTCAAGGATGACACTACTCTGATACCATGTTGCAATTTGGTTTAAGTTTTCTTGTATATTTCATAAGTATTGAATGTACAAGGATACACATATATATGAGAAAAGAAGGACTAGTAACAACCAACTATCCTTAGACTTAACCCTAGAGACTGGCCATACTCCCTAATTGAAGGAGATTACACCAAATACTAGTGACCTGCCACACTCCTTAATTGGAGGAAACCAACCACAAGTAAGGAGTGATTTACACTTTTCTGTCAAGGAAAACACAGCAGCTTATGCTGCAACTAGGCAGCCAAAGTTGACAAAGAAATGCCATGATTTCTGGATTACAAAATCTACATAATCTGTCTAGGGTTGGTTAGTAACTCTCAATATTGATGCATTCATCAAAGTAAAAGTTGAAGCAGGCTTATAACAACTGAGCTAGGCTTAGCCCCAGCTCATCGTGGATGAATTTTGGCCTCAAATCTATGAACAACCTCAGCCAGATCATTCTCAAAGTAAGCTCAATTAACAGCGTTTAGGCTGCACAGAATGGGATTGATTTAACAGGGAGAATATGAGACAAAACTTGTCTCTCTTGGGGAATCTGTTAGGCTGCAAAAATTTACAATGTTATGGCCGACTAACATTGATAGGAAGGCTTTTCCACCAGATGGATAATGCAAGGAATGGTTTATGGAGTGCTATATATATTTGCATGGATCTGGTGTGGCTAAAAGCTTTGTTATATATGCACGGGTCTTGTGTTGTCTTTTCTCCGTTTGGAGCAGTCTTGGTTACACTCGGGTTCAATTGATGGTACCTTTGTGTATCTTTTGGTGCTTATGGAGCGGAAGAAAGAGCAGGGCATTGATCAAATACACCTTCGTGCTCTTAGCAGCAAACAAGCCTACTGCTAGTCATCGGAGGTAATTTCACAGGGCAAATGTTGAATTTGAGGTCAATATTTACATAATTAACAACTATTGGTTCCGAGGCCTTACAAAATTTTACTCAAATAATCTCTGTGCAAGCCAGAACGTATGCATGCATGGACATACGATTTTGGTATCCCATGCAGGGTTCTGATCAGGCTTGACAATCTTAAAATCTTAACAATACATGGAAGAATAAACTAAATAAATAAAAAACTTACGGGCAAACTAGTGAACGGCAAGTGTTATCAAAAGATGTGCATGTACAGCAGTGTCCGGACTTGAGTCTTGCGCTGCACTTCACAAGTTTTGGGTTATGAGTATTGAACTGTTTAACAACTTTTTCTATCACCAATTTTCATCCGTATCGAATTTGAATGTCAAGCGTCTGGCAATCGATTGAAGTTAAATCTTAATCACAGCAAAAACTGAAGTGCTTAAAAGTATGATATTCATCAGTAGAAGAAATCAGAAAACATACTGTCCTAGTAGCTTATTACACATTATAAGATC